TGCTGGGATTACAGGTGTGAGCCACCACGCCCAGCAGTCTTCAGATGTTTTCTGTGGAACCTGATGAGCTGATTTGAAAATTTATATGAAAGTTCAAATGTCCAAGACAAGCCATGGCAAACTAAAGGGCAGGATACAGAGAAGGACCCACCTCATGTATAATGAAGCTATGACAATGCCAAGACAGTGGCAATCACATGGGACAGGCACGATGGCCAAGGGAATGAAATGGGAGGCTCAGAAACACCTGCAGACATTTGGTTTATGACAAAGGTGGCACTGTGGAGCAACAGGGCAAAGAATCTTTTGAATGTGTGGTGCTGGGACAATTGGATATCCCAGAGGGAAAATTACATTCGTTCTCCCGTACCATACACACATAAGACAGTCCGTTCTAGGTGGGCCCTTAGATTCCAGTGTGAAAGATAGCACAAATGAGCTTTTAGAAGATGATTTAGGAGACTATCTTCATGATCTTGCAGAAAGGAAAGGTTTCTTAAACTAGACATAGAAATTGTTGTCCATAAAGAAAACAACTTCTACTTTCCATTACTTTAAATGAAGAACTTCTGTTTACCAAAAGATACCACAAAGAGAAAGCAAAACAAAATCACAGTTTGGGAGAAGATTTCTGCAACACATATAATCAAGAAAAAGACTAGTAACCATAATAGATAAAGAAGTCTTACATATTTTTAAGCAAAAGACTATCCAATAAAAAACAAGGAATTTCACATACATTTCACAAAAGAGAAAAGCCGAATGACCAATAAACAAATAAAAAGATGTTCAAATTCATTAGTGATGGGAGACACACAACTTAAACTCACAAGGTGACATAATTAACCAGCAGCCATTCTGCCAAAAATAAGAAGTCTGGCAGAACTAAGCAGTGGTTTATGGAACCACAGGGCTTTGGGGCGCTGGTGATGGGAGTGTAAACCAACACAACCCCTTTGAAAAACAGTCTGGAATTATTTGGTAAAGCTGAAGATACACGCATCCTACGACCTAACTATTTCACTCATAGAGAAATCCTTGAACGTGTGCGCCAGGAGTCCTGTAAAGAATATTTACGAGCATTGTTCATAATAGACAAAACCTGAAAACAATCCACACATCTATTCACAGTAGACTAAATAAGTAAATATTAGTGCATTTACACAAGAAATACTATTCATTCATGCAAACCAACAAATCACTGCTGTATGCAGCAAGGAGGACCCTCGGGAATGGGAGGTTAAGCAATGAACAACACAAGCAGCATAAGGACATATTCAGTATTTTCTACAAAAAGTTTAAAACAGGCAAAACACAATTTTTATTATTTAGGAGTACAGGCTGGGTACAGTGGCTCATGCCTGTGATCCCAGCACTTTGGGAGGCCAAGGCAAGTGGATGGCTTGAACTCAGGAGTTTGAGCCCAGCCTGGCCAACATGGTGAAACTCCATCTCTACAAAAAATACAAAACTTAGCTGGGCATGGTGGCACATGCCTGTGCTCCCAGATCCTACTACTGAGGTGGAAGGATCCATTGAGCCTGGGACGTTGAGAATGCAGTGAGCTGTGATTGTACCATTGCACTCCAGGCTGGGTGACAGAGCGAGGCCCTGTCTCCAAAAAAAGCATAACATACATGGCATAGAAACATGAGAGGATGATTAACACAGAATTTAGAATGGTGATTAACTTGTCAGGCGGGAGGCAAGAGGAGAGGATACAGAGAAAAGTCATAGGCAATGTTACATGGAAAATCCATATACATAGGAAATACATATACATGTTTAATATATGCATAAGTATGTATGTATAAGTAAATCTACACAGGAAATTCGCAGGTGATATTAATGTTCTTTTTCCTAAACTAAGAATAAGCAAGCATATGTTCATTGTATTATTTTAGATATATTTTTTAAATATTCTTTTGATTTTAATATTTAATAACAATTTTAAAGGATTTGAAAATACCATATTTGAAAACACTTTAGTAGTATTGGTAGCAATAGTCATAGTAATATTTCTACCAATTATTAGGTAATTACCAGGCACAACACCTCAAATGCACTAGCTAAATCAATTCTCACCACAGCCCTCTGAGATGGATATTTTATTACTCACATTTTGTAAATTTTGTAAATGAGGAAATGAGACTCAGGGAGATTTGGTGACTTGCTCAAGGTCACACGACTTGAAAGTGAAGAACTGGGAGTCCTGAATCAGATTTGTCCCATTTTAAGACTGCGCTCTCAGCCACTACCAAAGAGTCTTCCTCATTCCTTTCCTTCCATACTGGACTAACCTATATCACTTCCAAAAATGCCTGCTTCTCCAGAGTAGTGAGCTTATTTTGGGGGTTCCCTAAAGAAAGAATTCCTGGTTCTCACGATCCCTACAGTTAGGAATATCTTGTGAATTGTTGATTCTACTGTTGTCTCAGCCTGCTCAGAGTGACAAAGTGGCTGAGATGGTACCTCTCAGCTTAGAACTTTTTGGACCTTGTTAAGCTTATTCAAAGTACTTAAACAGCATGATTGATCATTTCATGGTGACAGGGAGGTAACACTGGAGGGACCAGCTGCTCCTCCAAGGGCTTCAGCTGTCTCCTCTGGTAACTGCCCAACAGGTGGACAGAGCTGACCCTCATGGAGAAAAGGTTTCACCTCCATCTCAAGGCCTGACTACCCATCAACTGTGTCCTCCACTCCCAGGCTTCAGGGAATCTATAGTTCTGCTGGAGACAGGCTTGTCACAAACAAACAGATAACACCACATGGTAGTTGCAACAAGTGCCCACTTAATCTTGTTTAGGTTGATGCTGAAATGTTTTAGCTAGGTTGGGAAGAAACCATGGGATCCACTGATTATATTTAGCCCCGATTTTTAATAAAGTATTCTTGGGAAGAAGTTTCCCATCACAAAGAAATACAAATATTTAAAAAGCAAACAAGTCACGGACGGGCTCTCAGACCTGCTGCCATATGCTTTGCTTTTTTGAGCTTATGGCTTAACATTAAAATAACAGCCTTGCATTCCTCAAATATCTCTACTGCTGTTCCTTACTTCTACTACTTGAAAAGGCTGTCAGCTGCTGTCACTTGGAGGCATTGCCATATTAGCCACCACTGTTTATTGCTTACCATGTGATATGGCTATTAGTTTAATAAGCCTCCCCTTGGATGACACCCTAGGCTATGGAAGAAGGAACCAAGAGCGTGCTTGTGTGTGTTGGAGAGTGAGACAGGGAATAACGATGAGAGACACTGAATTCAATTGCATCAGGTTGTACTTTACCAATGGTTAAAGGATCGAATATTTCTTAAAGTGCTTTCACCATTTTAAGGTTCCATGAGATAAACAGCTTGGGGTAGAATCCAGAAATATAGCTGGTGTGCAAAAGAGCAAGTTTGAGATCTGCAAGAAGTGAAACGCCGCAGCAAAGCTCTTTAGTTCACTCTGCATAAATAGCTGAGCCTACAAAAGAAATCTCTAGTCAGAGGTTTCCTGGATTATAACAAGAATTTTCTCCTCGATGGGGAGAAGTGCCCTTTTCACTTGAAGACAAAGAAGTGTTTGTAATGGAAATGTGTGAACCAATTTTCCAAGGAGAGCTGCTGAAAAGCACTGATTAAAAACGCGGTGAGGTGATGAGGCAGAGAAATAAAGCCAGAGCTGACCCACTTAGAGTTTGTGGCTTGCACTTACTTCTGAAAGTGAAGAAGCAAGCCCGGGCCACCTTCTACATTCTTTCCCTTCTCTCCAACCCCAAGCAGGCCCTGCCCCATTACTGGCCCTGCAACTCTGTAGACAATCAGAACCTTCCAGCGTGCAGGAATGTTTACTATTTCTGGCCATTGTGTACTGGTTACTAAGCCACCGCCACTGAGGATGAAATTGTAACCCAGCAGCCCAAAAGACAAAGACCTTCTCAACAGAGCCTAACCAACAGGCAATGGATTCAGTGATTCAGGGGAAGGATGTGAAGATAGGTGGACAATTCTAGCATATGACAGTTTATAGCGACAATTCTGAGGTGATGGGCGATATTGATTGTTTAAGAACTTCCATTTCCTAGAGAATAAAACGAAGGCACAAAGAGGGAAGGTAACTTGATTTAAGTCGCCTAAAATAGGAGAATCACCAAGAGCTAGTGGAAGCCCTCAGTAATTCAGGACAAGCAAGCTATAAAGCCCTGTTTCCCAAATTTCACACACTGGAGTTTGTTTAACATCACTTTTGCCATATCCAAGTATATCTGTATTAGTATTTACTTAATATTCTTCTTTAAATTGACTTGAAAAATTCTTAATAGCCCCCTGAGCAATAATTTTCATCAAACCATTACATTCTAATGTACGTTTAAGAATGTATAACTGCTAAAATAAAAATTTTCACCCCCAGTCCATCTAAAATTGTCTCAGGTGCTCCAATGGTACACATTGGGAAAGAGTGGATAAAGTATTTTAAATAAATAAGGATGACCTAATACTATGTTAGGATGACTTAACAGCCTAAGTTTGTTTTTGTTTTTGTTTTTGTTTTCGTTTTTGAGACAGAGTCTTGATCTGTTGCCCACACTAGAGTGTAGGGCAGTGGCGTGATCTCGGCTCACTGCAACCTCCGCCTCCCAGGCTCAAGCAATTCTCCTGCCTCAGCCTTCCAAGTAGCTGGAATTACAGGCACATGGCACCATGCCTGGTAAATTTTTGTATTTTCAGTAGAGACAGGGCTTTACCGTATTTCCTAGGCTGGTCTCGAACTCCTGACCTCAGGTGATCCACCCGCCTCTCCCTCCCAAAGTGCTGGGATTACAGGCATGAGCTACCATGCCTGGCCCTAACTTTGTTTTTAATATCAGGAAAAAAATAACAGTAAAAGGGATTTTATATTGTTGACTGCCAGGGTGTCCGTGAGGGGCTTAGAATGATTGGAAATAAGGCGGGGGAAGAAGTAAATTTAATAACTTTTAAGTAAGGGAAAATGGAAGCCCAGGATTACTTACATGAAATTTTCTGGGTATTCGCTCAGGGCCATGTCGATGATGTTCAGAGCATCATGGTAATGCTTCTGTGCTGACAGCAAGAGGGCAAGGAGGTGCAGGGAGTTGGCATCGTCACCTTGAAGCTGAAGAGCTTGGCGGACATACCCCAGAGCCTCTGGAATCTGGTTTAAAACAAAACCAAAAAAGATTTTTTAAAACACACACGCACATGAAAGAAGTCATCATTTCAACAACTGATTCTCTTTAAATATCGAGTTATTTCACCTTGCGCCTCATTCACATTTTAAGCCAAGTCTTTACGGCAGCCCCAGGATGTGAACCACAAACATGAAAGCAGAAGCCATCTTCAAGAGACATTCTGAATGGCAGAGTGATTCAAGAGACCCTGTTTCTCGGCAGAGCTTCCAATACTGCACCTACTCTTTCACTTCTCCCTGAGTAAACACTTTCTCGTTCTTTCCACAAAACGGATCTACTTTCGATTATGCCCCAGGTGATTTCACTCTAAGTGGAGACACATACAAATTATCAGAGGTTTTTAGTGGAATTAAACTGCCTTAGCTGAACTTTTCTCATTTTTCAAGTATTACTGAAATTAAAGTGCTTAATATGTTATTAAACCTTTAACAGAGATTTCCACGTGATCAGAGGCCTGTGATTCTTTCAGGTTCCTTTGTCCTGGACTTCCGGCAGACATCAAGGAAACAGGCCAAAAAAGCAAACAACAAACAAAAGCCCTGCACCTTTCCAAACTGCAACCCAAAATAAGCTGATCCGAGAAACAAACTGCAATGCCACATGCAAAGTAGACGTGTCCAAATTCATGTAGGACCAGACACAACCTGAACCTTTAAATGCAACAGTTTTTCAAGACTTCCGCAAAATCATCCAAACACAAGGGTGGACAAAACGCACACAAAATGGATATTTGAACACCGTGGATTCCACACAGGTTTGGCAGTAACTAGGGAGAATTAGAACCTGAAGCTAGATTTTGAAATAGAGCTCTGTACTGAAGCATTCTTACACAGCCATCCCACAGACTCCTTCCTCTCTTGCTCCAACTCCAGTCCTCTGTGGGGCCTCTTCTCAGCTCTCCAGCTTTTTCCCAAACCCTCAGTAACCTCACTCCTTAGTAGAAAGCTATGACTTCTCTTTTCCTCAATGAACTTCTTTTCTTGATGGATTTAGTTTATAACTGTTGGCAATGGAGGCTTTCTGCTTTGGAACCATAGAATCCTGGTTCTCATAGTTGGAAGGGAGACTGTCTACCCCAATCCTTCAGTTACCAGGAGGAAGCTGAAGTCCAGGGAGATGAAATGGCTTGAGCAAGGTTACCCAACTATTGAGTGCCTGACAAGAGAGTGATTCCTGTCCGTCCTCTCCTCCTGGTCAAATCTCCTCCCCTGGGAAAGCAGAGAAACACTCCCTCGGGACTCTGCTGTTCTGACACTACATGCCCACAAAGGCTGCTGCCACACCCATAAGGCTGCAGCTACTTATCCTTCCCCAGGTGACAACCTACTATGTGAACAGCACTCAACCTGGTATTGGTGGCTGGGTTGAAAGCCACAGCATAGCACGATGCTGATTTGCAGGGATGACCAGAGCAACCAGGGACAAACTGATACAAGGATCAGAAAGATGTTTTTAAGGGAGAGCTGCCTGGAAGGAATTCAAAGCTGGTTCCTTCATTTACTGAGTATTACTGAGTCACATGTCAGGTGGTAGTCCAAGTGCCAGGGTAAAGCAATGACATTGGTGGCCGTGGGCTCCTGGAACCTACAGTCCAGCGAGAAAGACAGAAACTGAACAAGAGAGCGGGGAAAAAGAAGGAAGTGTAGGCTGCTACAGGAAGAAGGCTTCATGGAGGAGGTGAAAGAAGCTGTCGGTGTAGGGGAGAGATCAGATGGCCAATCAATAGCCACGCCTGCTGCAGAAGTCCAGCTGTGAGCCACAGTCAGGTGACTGGACCTTTACAGGGGAGGCATCTTGGTTTCCTCAGTCCCTAGGTTGCCAATGGAAGTCACTTCTCAATGCCACTCCCAAGCAACCAGGAAGACAGATGCATACCTCAGCCCAGGCCTGCCAGGGGAATGGCATGTCTGGAGAGCTGACCTTTGAATCACCCTCCCAGTCAGCACCCAGGAATGTGCTGGGGTTACCACCAGTGTCTTGCACCTGGTGGGTGGTCAGGCATGTGGCCAACATCCCCAGAACAGCTGGGAGTGGACAGGAGGGTTTCAGGAATGGCAGAGGCAGCATCTAAAAGCTGCCTTTGGGAAGATGAAGGCCAGCAAAACTTGTCAAGAAAGTCTCCTTTCTTGAGTAGCCACCGTGTGTAACTGTTCATGTCCTCCATGTATTATAAAGGACCTGGTATCTGGCATCTTCCTGTCAATCGCTGATACTCCTATGACAAACAGACTCCAACCAGTGGCTAAATCCCCACCATGCAGCTCAGCACTGGGTTCTGCTACCTGGTTACTGTTAGCAAGGGACAAAGGCTCTTTGATGACTCCTGAGTTTAGGATATATGCCATGTGCTGCTCCCCAGGTTACCATCTGACCCTAGCTTGGGCCCCCCAGCTGTGTGGATTTAATGTCCAAAAGCAGAGCCTGGAACTCCTGTGTCTTCACAGCAGATGCTCAAGCCAACCAAAACATGAGGCTCTTTGCTGAAACCTCTGAGAAGGGTCCCTGACTCCAGTCACCCTCAAGGGAATAAGGGAAGATCACCTAGCACTTCAAACTGAAGAGCTGAATGAGTTGTATCAAGATACAGAGTGCACCATGTTTAGGAAACATTAGAGAAACTGACCTGTCTGGAGATGGCAAGCTGCAGAGCCAGGTAGAAAGCTGCTTGGTGGTCTGTGGGTGACAGGCTGTGGGCCCTGAAAAAGTATTTATGGCTATTAGTACATGGGAGAGGACGCCATTTTTACTTTCCCTATCAAACAAGTCGTCTTCACATTTGCATTCTTATACTAGGGCCACATATTTATTTAACTATGTAATGTTTCCTTTAAACTCTTCTCCTTTGACCACCGATACATGGAAAACAGTTCTCCTACCACTGTCTAAAGGGACAGAACAGGAGCATGTTTCTGTGTTTGTCTAGCATCTAAAACGGCAGCCGAACCTTGCCGGCTTTGCAGAGGGCCTGGAGGTGAAGAGGCCACAGGCCCTGAGGTTGAATTTCCCCAGCAGGTGGGCCCCTGTGTCATGCTGGGACACGGTGAAGCCATGTGTGCACTTGGCAAGGCGATGGCTGCTTTGGGTAAGTTTGGCTTGGGCTTCCTTCATGCTACTTTAACCAAATTTCTAGATTTCAGAGAAACTATATGAAAATCAAAGACCCAGCTTTGCTTATAAAATGAGGTTTTTGGTTTTTGATGAAAAAAAGGAAGAGAAAGACACTCATTCAGTCTTTTGAAGCTTCTAGGAAATTCCATGCCGTTTACTGATTTCGTCCAGATAACTGTGACGTGGGAGGCTGTGGGATGTAGTGGGAGGCACTACGCTCAGTGTTGTGAACTGGCCTTTGACATCAGACGGGAAGGGACCATACTGGCCTCCTAACTGATTGCAAATGTGGTCTTTTCTGCTGTGTGGAAGTCATTCGTATTTAGCATAAGCAACTCAAAATGTGACTACTACGTACAATATAATTCTGTGTTTAACAGTCTCCTGGGAAGGGAAAAACAAACTTTTACTTTCTTTAAAAGGCACCATGGGGCAGACTAATTAGGTGGGACCCAGATAGTAAACAAAACTTAGTGCTGTTCTGTCAACATTCTGTGATTAAAGGAGGATCTTCTACCAGCAGAAAATAAATTCAAGATAAAAAAGAAAATCAAATCATTATGGATTCAATGGTGGCAAACAGGCCAAAGATTGCTTTCTACAATAAGGCCTTTTAATTGAATTGCATGCTGCTAGAAAGGGAGCTAACAAGTCTCCCAGGTGTTTGCCATCCAGAAAATATGCTAAGTCCACTAATTTAGGGCATTGTTTATGCAAATGTAGTAGCTCACGTGCAGGATGAGGGTGAAGCAAAGCTTACCTCTGTCCTTATATTAATCTTAGGAGCAAAGTACCTAGATTTCCATTCCAGGCCACTCTTCACTTGGCCTCAAGACATAGCCTTAGAACTTTTCTCAGCTTAGTTGAAGAGGCTGAGGCTGATATTGCCTGTGCTATCCTTTTAAATGTCTTATTTTTCTTTTTTTTTTAATTCTTTTTTTTTTTTAAGACAGGGTCTTGCTCTATCACCCAGGCTGGAGTGCGATGACATGATCACTGCTCATTGCAGCCTCAACTTCCCAGGGCCCAAGCGATCCTCCCTTCTCAGCCTCCCAAGGAGCTGAAACCACAGGCGTGCTCCATCATGACCAGCTAATTTATAAAATTTTTTGTAGACACAGGGTTTGAACATGTTATCCAGGCTAGTCTGGAACTTCTGGGCTCAAGTGATCCTCCCATCTTGGCCTCCCAAAACTCTGGAATTAAGGGCAACAGCCACCACACCCAGCTACTAAATGTCTTATTTCTAAGGTCCACTTTGTATGTGCCAGCATAATTTTACAAATATTGGCTTTCCATGAATTTGTATATCAAAGAATCTTTTTCTTTGGTGTTTATAAAAGTGAGACTGAAAAATCATGGTTTCTCTCTCTCATAATTATTCGGGAAAAAATACACAATTATGAAGAAACTTTTTAGATTTACTTTATCTTGCCTTCTTTCACAAATAATAAAGTTTACGTAACCCTCAAAAAGAATTTCTTAGAGTTGTAATTTTCTCAGCCCAATTCATATTCTTCACAAATAAATCAAGTCATGGCTACCTCTACCCAATACCAGCTAACTGAAAAGCTGGTAATGACCTGGTGAGTGGAGGGTGTGGATAAAGACAGGCCCCATGCTGGCCTCGTCAAATGATTTTTCTCTGTTAATCACAGCACTGTGAAAGGAACAAACCAGAAGCGATAGAGATCTTGGTATTTCTGGAGTGCATTAGGGCAACATCTGAAGGACTTCCAACTTGGCTAGTGATGTATATTCAACTGCCAAATTTCTAATGAGGCACAACTGAAACACACACATTTTAAAAACCTTATTTCTACAATTTGGCTAATAAATTCAGCTGACCACTTTACCCTATGAAGGAAAAAAGGAAATAAGGAAAATGCCAAAGAAAACAAGAAAAAGTACCCTATGTCGATCTCAAGTAGACGCTAAAATACTTGCTTCCCGCAGAATAACTTCAGTAGCTAAGCTTCCTGTGGAAAAGCCCCTTTGGTATGCCACAGGCAACTCGCCAGACAGAAATCCTTGGCAAGGCGGGTGAGACAAAGGGCATTAGCAATCAGAGAAACTATGCCTTCTGAACTCTGTACATGAATCTAAAGCAGCCTCATAAAGCCCCGTGCCCATATACTGAATACCTGGCTAGACTGCTCAGAAATACCTAAAAGACCTAAAAATGTCACCATAGGGACACTCACAAAATGCTTCCCTTATCAAAGCACCTCCACATAATTCCATTTCTCTCCCATGAAGAAGCCCACTCATCCTTCTATCCACCCACCTATCCAGTCACACATCCATTTACATGTCCACCCATCCACCCATCTACCATCCAACCACCGACCCACCCTCCCATCCACCTATCCATCCATCCACCATCCAACCATCCACCCACTCACCCATCCATCAGTCCACCCATCCATCCATCCATCCATCCATCCACCCACTTACCCACTCATCCACCATCCATCCATCCATCCATCCACATTATGCAATATCTATAATATGATGCCAGGCCCTTTGATAACCTCTGGGGAGCATGGAGATGAAGCATGCTAGTACCTTTCCTTGATGAGCTCCCGCCCCCACCCCAGAGGGAGAGACTCAAAATGATAATCATTACAGTACAGTGGGAGCAGTGCCCAGAGATAGGCATGCTGGGCTGCTTTTGGAAAGCATGGCATGGGCTTCCCACATCACCTGGCTAAAACTCAAGGATGTTGTGGCATCTAAGCCAGTGCTCCCCTAGATTCCATTTCCAACATTCTCTAGAGTTGAACCAAGAATATAAAGAAGGCTGATCAATGTTGACCCTGGTCCATAAGGCATATATCTTGTAACAATAATAAGTACGATTTGTGAAGTTATCAACTATTAAGCTTCTTGTCCAAGAACAGCCGGCAAATGAGAGAAAGCCAGAAGTGGAATGGAAAGCATGTGATTCCAAAGCCTGTTCTTTGTACACTATCACCTTACTGCCTTGTTTAGCCAATTCTCTTTGAAGTCCCCTTCAGTCCTGATTACAGGGGCCATGGGATTCATGCATTAAGTTTTTTTTTAAAAAAGTGCAAACCCTGGTTAAATCTATTGCTCGGGAACCTCTTGTTATTTAAACACACAGGGTGACCAACTTGTCCTGGTTTGTCCAGGATGTTCCTAATTTTAGCATTGAAAGTCCCATGTTCTGGGAAGCCACTGAGTCCTCAAGAGATTGGGATGGCCGGTCACCCTATATGGACAAATCATACCACACTTAAGCTAGGAGAGAAAGGGAAAACAAAGCCAGATTGTGTACCCTATAACCACAATGAGTGATATACACAAATGCCACCATGCCACCTCTGCCTCCTGGAACACCAGGCTTTATGCATACTGTGGGCCACACAATGAAGGGTGCCCTCAACAGTTTTCAGGATTGCATTTCTCAGTAGGATGTGAGAGCCTGCAGAAGAAGGCTCTCAGGTCAATTAAGCACCTTCAGAAGCTTTGCAAACAATATTATGTTCTTCTTCACCATACTTTTGGACAGGGCAAATGAATTGGTTCAGCTGCTGGGGTTGAGCTTATGAGTGTAGGAACAACTGACAGTCTCACATTGAGATGCAGCCACCCAACTTGGATGTCTTCAAGCTTTGGATCCACTAGAGAGTGAATATTTCTGAATTCTGGCTCCAGTCATAATTAAGAGTTAACTTTCATGTGCTACATCTGCAACCCCATCACTTTTTGAATTGTGTTTTCTTTTTAAACAAAAAATGCAAAACATTAGTATAAACAGAACTGTGGGAGGATATTTAAAATAAATAGTAGAGAAGGTACTTCTCATCAAAGTAGTTTTAAATTATTCATTTACATTTAAGAAGAAATACAAATCATTTTCACCTTCTTAAAATCTTTCCCTTAAAGATTTTTGTTAGGATTACAGTTCACTAGAACAATCCTAGTTAATGTATACTTGAAACAAAATGAAAAACATTCCTTTGAAAAACATTCTATATTTCACACAAATTCTAATTTAGGTTAGCCTTCTGCAATATAACCAGTTAGGTTAGTGGGATTTTATTACTCTTTATTCCCATATGAACTAATGTTTTAAAAATCTCTTTGAATTTAAACTTAAGCAAAAGATGAAAAAACAAGAATTCAGGCCAATGGAGCAGCTGTTACATAACACGAAGTTATACTGGCAGCTAAGGCAGACCACCACTGTGGCTGTTTTTAGAGAAGCCAGTAAGATGTGCTGATTTAAGAAAAGTGAAACAGATGTAATGACCACTTTCTTAAGCATCCATGTGTGGGTTTTACAAACTAGGGCTGGAGAATTTAAAACTCCGAATCATTTGAAATGGAAATGCTTTCCACACTCCGTGCTAAAGAACATCAACAAAAGCTTAGCACAGAGACAGGAGATCTTTTGCAGATGTCAATTGGTACTTTTTGTCATTACCCAGACTGGGGCTGGCGACCTGATGTAGCTACCGGCAAGCCTGCTAGGAAATAGAGGAATGAGACAGAAGAGTTTCAGACTAACTGAAACCAGTGATTATGATTTCATGAAAAAGGCACAGGGACACCATGATAAATTGGTAGGCAAGCCCAGTTGTAAGGAAAGAGTCTAACAAAGCTTGTGAGGTATTGGGAAGCCCTCATGAAATGTTCATGTAAGTGACTAAGTTTCTAATAAAATTCCAAGAAATCAGTGTAACTCAGATATATTTAAGGTGACAGGATCAATACCAATTCTAGATTTCACATGATGGGGCTATACTTCCAGACAACGATTTCATTTTTGTGATTCGTTATACCTGTCGTAAGAATAAAATGACGGCAGTGTGGTCTGGAAGGACAGGAGAATCGGGGTTAGAGTTAGGAGACCCTGACTGCATACTGACTTCAATAGCTGTGGAATGGCAGCTCCTAGAAACTCCTGCGTCTCAGTCCCTGACCTGCAAGGGGCATACTGCTTGTCCGTCTTCCTCAATGGTCTGTGGTGAGGAACATATAGTGAGGCATGTGAAGGCACACTGTGATGCTCAAGCATTTGATAGCTGCAAGGCCTTCTCCTAATTTCCTGAGGCACAGTGACAGAGATAAGCACAGGGTGTTACGGAACAAGGTGGGGGCGGGGAGTTTGGGGCTTGTGGGGCTGACTGTCTTCATTCAGTATTTCAGAGACGCTCAGTATTTCAGAGACTTCCTGAAATCGGCCTTCTCATTCCTTAATACAAAACCCTGCAGCTTGACATGTTAAAAAAAAAAAAAAGCTAGAAAAGAAGAATGTCTTCTCTAGATGATGACAAATGTCTTTAATAAAGGACTCATCTCCGTAGACATACAAAGTATCTATCTTTTTCGAGCTGAAATCACTTTATTAGGAATGAATAAAATGTGCCCAAATGGATAAACAGATTAAGAGTGCAGATTTACACAGCAACAAGTGACGCAGCAGGGTTTTGATGCTGTATGTTTGGTGCTCAAGACGAAAGACTCTCAGGGGTAAAACACTGTTTACATAATCTTTATAAATATCTCTTCTTTTTATACTCATCATACTTTGGTGTCATTATGTACAGCCGAGTGAAAAGATGAACTCCCACTCACCTCTGAAATGCAAGAAGCGCCTTTCTCTGTAGGACCTCCTGCATCCCTCGCAAAGAAGCTAAGAAAAGGGTTCAATTAGTCAGTGGCATCGGAGATCAGGGAGCTTTTGACAAATACAAAACCCATCACAAAACTTGTACATTCAACTGGATGAAAAGCAACAATGTCTGAGTTCCTGGGTGCCTAGTCCTGTACCGGGCCCTGGAGAAGACAGGAAAGGAAGCCCAGTCCTACCCCTGAGGTGCTTGCACTCATTGGGTGTGACTGTGGAACGAGGCCAAGGGGGCAGTATGAGTTGGATGATCACTCTCGGTACTCCCAGGCATAGGGGGACCATTTGCAAAAGACCAGTTGGGAATTCCAGGAGGAGCATGACTGCCCTCCCAAGTGCAGGCATGTAACTTGTGGAGAAGGAAAAGCTCTATCAGGATGGGATGGGAGGGATCCAGGCACCGGCAGTGTTGATTTTGACGGCCTTCAGAGCTCCTTCTGGCACTGAGAAGCTGCAGCCCTGGGCCAAGGGCACTAGCTTGATGCCTTGAAAGGCCAGCTTGGTTCACACTGGGCAATGGCCAGACCTTTAACACCTTCATGTGAACACAAGGGATGGTGTAGGCAAAGCCAACACTGATGATGGAAAATTAGCTCAAAAGCATGAGGCCACAATGGCTTTGAGTCAACACTTCCCCTGTGCAGAGCACCTGAGAAATGGCCCCTTAAACCTGGCTAGGAATGAAAAGGTACTTTTTACTAGGGCAAGAGAAAAAGTCGTAGAGGAACCTGTTTATGGCTAGGACTGCAGGAGGCCATTACCTAACGCCTCTAACATGGCACCTCCCAGCCTGGCATGAGACTGAGAGCAGTGAAAGGCTGCCAGGGGTCAGTGTGGCTAGAGACCATGGCTAACTTAGAACAGCAGTGCTACCGCTGGAGGGAACCTCAGAGGGGGCCCAACTGACCTATGAATGGAAGGGGAAGCCCCACAGGATCAAGTGACTCTCCCAAAGTTGCAGGAGTAATGAGGGGTGGAGTCTGAACTAAGAATTTACATGGGTTAATATGTGACATTAAATTTGCTCTTCACGCAAAGTCTACTATATTAAAAGCCATGTGCTGAGTATTGCCAATGTATTGTGGGTATGGAAAATTAGCAAGTAATCCATACTGAAAAGTAATTAATATGCAAAACTTCCCCAGGACCTTTGATATTTTAGGGCAGAGAAAAGATTTTGGAGTAATTTGTAAAATAAATTACAACAAAACCATGAAGAAAAAAAAGGAAATATTATAAAAGTCAGGATAGTATTTCCACTTAAGGGAGAGAAGAGGGTTTGTGATTGGGAGGGGCACATGGGGGGGCTTCCCAGGTGGCTGGCAAGGTGCTAGCTCCTAGGCAGGGTAATGGTTACAGGATATTTTGCCTTATACTAATTCAAATTCATTATGTTATCCACTTGTTTCTGAGATTTTCTTTTTGCATTTGTGTTATATTTAACAAAAACATGATAAAATAATAGTAACAGTTCAGGAAAAGTTTGTTAATTTAAACTTTCTGCAAACATCACTGAAAACTTAAGTATACACAATTTGTTCTTAGCTAGAAGCCCATCCGACAGAACTCTAAGCATGCCCAAAATCACTGCACCTGAGAGCCCTGGGTGTCTGGTGAGCTATTGCCCTGCACATGTACATATCTGCAAATTAAAACATGCAAATGGAGAAGGGGCATTTCCTGACCAGTCAAGAGAAGCTTCCTGGAAGTGTCTGACCCTGCCTCCTCCACATTCCTGTATCTAAGATCCAGCATCCCTTCACACAGCACAGCCCAGACCAAGCGGTGGGACAGGCGCAGGTGCAAGGCTGGGTGGGTGAATCATCTCTCAAAGCCCAGTGAGATGCCCAGTGCACCATCAGCATAATGTACCTGAAAATGAGGCCTGAGAGCCCTGGCCAAAGGCCTTCCTCCCCGCCCTCCCATTCTCCCATCAGACCAAGCAAAGAGCACAGCAGCACTAGGGGCCCCACCAGATGACACATCAGAATGCCCCAGCTTCTGCACCCCCCGAGACAGAAGGGGACTGTGGGAATCCTGCAGTGCAGACTTAGGCAGCCCAGCCCCGCAGCTCTGCAGCTCCGGGGTGGGACGTCTCTCACCATCAGTGGCCTGCAGACTGTACGTGAGCCCCAGAGCTAAGTAGCCTTTGGCCTTGAACTCTGATGTTTTCTCTCCCACGTCAACGACAGTTTTGGCAAACTTTTCAGCCTCTTCCAACTGAAAAATGAGACAAGTTAAAAACAAAAACAACCTGCAGAATTTCTAACATGAGTTCTCATAAGCATCTGCTGCCAAAATTGGATTTCTGATGAGTCACTTTGAAAATGACTCCCAAATCTCCCAATCCCACTCTGGTGATTCTGTTTTCTTTCTTGAGCCTCGCTAACAGTTTGCAGGATTCCTACCTTGCTTTTTCTCTTTAAAGTTTTCCTTATTGCTTATTTACCTTCTTTTCCAAAGTTGCTTTCATACTTGGTGGGGAATCTATCTTTTTCATCTTTATTTTTTACTAGCTGGTTCTATAATGAAGCTGTGTTCGGTATTCAGAAGTTGAACTGAATATATTTGTAAAGAATAAAGTTCTTGGAATGTTTTAAGTTTGGGCCTTTCTGTTTCCCACCCCGCCCCGCCCCGCCCTCCACAGGATATAAAGAATCCATTCAGGCTTGGATTCTCTTTGCCATGAGCTGTTGTAAATTTTAAAACTCCATCCACTTATTTTACAAACCACAACACATGTACCTTGTGCCAGCAGATTCCAATGAGAAAATGTGCACCTGTAAACTACACCCACAATAAGACCTCATGCGTAATTCATTAGAGGCAAAGACAGGAAGATTTGTTTCCTCCAAGCAAGGCAAATGTTGATGATATCGAAGTTGGGTGACAGGACACTGGAGTTCATATACTCTTGACTTTTGTGGTGTTTGGAAATTTTAATAATAAAAATGCAAGAAAAACATATACAGAAAAGGGCCAGGCGTGGTGGCTCACGTCTATAATCCCAGCACTTTGGGAGGCTGAGGCGGGCGGATCACAAGGTTGAGTTCAAGACCGGCCTGGGCAACGTGGTGAAACCCCTACTCTACTAAGAATACAAAAATTAGCCGGATGTGGTGACCCAGCCTGTAATCCCAGCTACTTGGGAGGCTGAGGCAGGAGAATTGCTTGAACCCAGGAGACAGAGGTTGCAGTGAGCCAAGATCGTCCCACTGCACTCCAGACTGGGCAACAGAAAAATCTTTTTGTTTTTCTGTCTTGGAAAAAAAAAAAAGATTTGTTACTCCTATATATTTTTTCTAAAAAGAGGCCTATTTTAGGCATTTAGGGATGTATATGTTATAGTAATAAATAAATCCAGAGCTGGGAGGAGGGCAGTAGTCACTGCTGGGAACTGGCATGTTCCAAATGCAAAGGTTGTGTCCACTCCTCTGCCTGGTCCGCTCCTCCGCCTGCCCACTCCCGGAGCCGCCTGCGCCATCCCCTTGCCTGCTCACAGCCCCACACCGTCAGAACCCACGTGACCACACCACACCTTCACAGATGTGCGTTTCAGGTGAGAACCTGCGCTTTCTAAACGTTTTTCTACATTTTCCCCAGCAAAATGGAACTAGAATGGAACGATCTCTTTGCTAGGCTTACTTTTCTCCTGCTGGGTGAGAATACGTGAAAAAAGCAAACAGCAAGGAAATAAGGGTGAACGACCTGAGTTTGCAACATGCTTCGGTCTTTCCTAAGCAAACCCTTCTTATTGCTACTGTTGACATGAAGTTAAAGAAATTAGAACTCAATCATATGTGGCAATTATCTATACCAACAGCTCTGCAATTAGACTGAGTTTTCTATTTTCTATGCAAATGATGTATTTTTTGAGGTACTAGAATTGTTACAAATCAGGCTATTGCCAAATTCAAATTTGAACAAGAATATTTGAAGAGAAACGCGTATGTGAAGGAAGAGAAATGAAGACAGTTGAATTTACATTTGAGCTGAAGTTTAGGGTGACTCTTTGCTCTATAGAAAATCCCAGGCTCCCAGGCTCCCAGGCTCCCAGGCTCCCAGCCTGGGCAACAGAGTGAGACACTGTCTCTACAAAAAAATACAAAAATTAGCCGGGCACAGAGGAGCACACCTGCAGTCCCAGCTACGCCGGGGGCTGAGGCGAAAGGACGACTTGAGCCCAAACGGTCGAGGCTGCAGAGAGCTATAATCGTGCACTCCAGCCTGGGTGACAGAGCAAGACCCTGTCTCAAAAACACCAGGCTCAGCCAGAGATGCTAATTCAGTGTCATGTCTCTTCTCAGTCCCACATTGCTTGAATAAAGCAAGATGTATGGGAGTATGAATTATAATTCTATCTTATTATTGTTATTCCTGAAGCACAATCCCATAGAAAAAACCCTGGAGTACCCCTGAGTACTCCCCAGTTTTGGGGGGCAGTGGATGAGGCCTGCGGAGGCCAGGGGCCCAGGCCCAGGGTTCATGGCTCTACACGGGTTGTCTTCATGTAGCTGATGAATTAACCTCACTTTCTCTCTGTGCCTCGACATGCAAAAAATGGGCAGTCCCGGCCCAGAGTCCCCTGCAGGAGTGCAGAGGGAGGTGCCCCTACTCACCCAGTGCAAGGAGCCCATGCAGAGCTTGGCAGCCAGGAGGGGAATGGTGGCGTCGTCCGGCTTCAGGCGGATACACTCTTTCAGCACCTTCACAGCACGGGCAGACTTGGCAAGAGAAGATCATTCTGTGAAACTCAAAGCATTTGACACAACCAAATACTACAGCCTTCTCAGAGGGGTTTTCGGTCAGGGTGGCCTCCTCGTGGGCTTTTCCAATTTTAAGCCCAAGCAAGTAGGAGCCTGAGGCCCGCGAAAACCAGAGCCTGCGGCTTCTGAGAGACCGGGGAGTACACTGGGTTATAAACCAGCATCACCTGAATTTTGTTTCCTACTTGTGTAACTATTGGAAAATTAAGAAAAACATAAAGATGGTGGAAACTTGTTATTACCAAAGATAAACATCCAATTTAAGGCACAGAACACTAAATTTCTAAATTCATTTAGTTCAAGTAACCTCTCTCAGGCTTCATTCACTGAATGGTCCAACTTAACAAGAACAATAGTTACCTCTGTTGAGTGTGTACCCAGCAAGGAATGCTACTCTAAACACCTCTGGTAGCATCTCATTCCCCTGATAACACGTTTATGGAGTGGGCGCTGTCCTCACTCCATTTTACTGAGGAAACAGATACTCGTGACTTGCCGGGGTCACTCAGCTGGGAGGGAAGCACCAGGCTTCATCCTGCCATCGGGCTCCCTCAGCTCACGTTTTCATCCGGTGTCACGCACTGCCTCATATAACACACCGCTCAAGATAACCAAGGTTCCCCTCCAGGAATCAGCTTAACTCTCAGCTGAGTGGCAGTGTCTGTGTCAACAACGAGCTCTAGTTTAAGCCACGTCCATGTCACCTGATGAAGTCACAATGACTAGAAAAAGACAAATATTTCAGAATTTTTCTTCTCAGTGATAGGTCCATCTTGGCTCCCTAAATAATTAAATCTGATTGTTCACTGAGAAAGGACCAGGATAGTTTCCCATCGTGGCTCCAAAGACTTCCAAAAAGTCTATCATTTTGCACAATTCAATGACACTAACCTTGGCGTAAACAACTGCGTATCACAAAGGGGACTCACCTTTCCAGCAGCCATCAGGGACAGAGCAAACTGGTACCACAGGTGGAACTCCTCAAAGGCAAACTTCATGGCTCTTTCTAGGCACTGTTTGGGAAAGAAAAATAAATGCAGATATCTGAGAGTCGCTGGTGCCACAATTGCACAAATGTGAGTTTGTGTCTATGTACACTAAGGTAAGTCCCATAAAATCTGCTTCCCTTAAATAATTAAAACATATAATCCTCCACCAAACAGCTCCTACAGAGTCCCCACACGGGCCGGTGGCCAGGACGACCCACTGTTGACCAAAGCTGTGACAATCCCTGCCCTCGAGTAGCTTTGTATCTGGCACAGGGAAAGAGGCAAATACACCAACCTCCCAAATACAAAGCCAAACTCAGGAATGCCCCCAGGGTGAGAAACAGCACTGTGTGAAGTGATCCACGAGTCAGGAATGGCATCCAGTGAGAACAGAAACTGAGCTGGGCCTTCCTCAGCCCAGCCCCACTTTGAGAAACCATCAAAGGCAAAAACCACAATCTCTTTATCTTCAGTATTGGTGCATTGCCTGCCATGGTGAGTAATCTACAAACGGATTTCCCTCTCAGTCAGCAAGGAGCTTCTGGTCCCTGCACAGAGTGACATGATGACGTCAGTGCTTGAGGAAGATCTTGGGGGACTGGGGTGAGGGGGAGGATCTTGATGGACGTAGGCCAGGAACAAAGTGGATAGAGTGGTCCAGGGGTTTCAGAATCAAGAAATGTGTCCAAGTTCAAATCAGCAAGATGGGTCACCTGTGGAAGCAATCGGGGGCTGGGGAGGCACAAGAGGGGCCCAAATTTCTGGCCTGTACACCTGGGAGAAAACCCATGCCACAGAATGCCCTCGTGTATGCACAAGTGTGTGTGGGCGGGGGGCGGAGGGAGAGAGAGAGTGTATGTGTGTGACAGAGACACACAGAGAGAGAGTGTATGTGTGTGACAGGGACAGAGAGAGAGAGTGTGTATGTGTTTGAGAGAGGGGGAGAGAAAGGGGAGGTTTTTTGTTTTTTTTTAAGAAGAAAGGGAGAATGTGGACAGAAGCTGTCATGAACAAGTCTGACGTGGGAGATGCTGAGTTTGAGGCATCATGAGGTAATTTACCAGAGACATTCTGGGACCTCAAGAAAAAGATCTAACAGAAGACAAACATCTGAGAAAAGAGCTGAAGTCACTGGAAGAGATCAGATCAGCCCAGAAGAGTATTCCGAGAGAAGGCAGCAGGGCCAGGCCGTGGGAAGGGAGAGCAAAAGGACCTGGAACGGAATGTGAAGCGGGGACCTGGGTGGGAGGGCATGCAGCAGTGTCACAACACAGGGCCCTAGGATGGGGCCAACGGGGCCAGAGGCAATGGAGGCCAAGAAGCCCTTGGAATCAATTGGTCGAAAAGCTCTTCAAGTGTGTCCCTGGGGGACATGGAAGGAGAACACAGGCCATGGGGACTGATAAGCAAAGACAAGATGGAGATGAGGCATGAAGGAAGATGTGTGTAGTGCAGAAAGGCTTTTTATCTATGTGCTTAATTTTTCATAGAGGCAACTCGAGCCTCTCGCTAACATGAGCAGAACGAGCCTGCAGAATGAAGACCCTGGGGAGATAAATTAGGTCCCAGAAGGCTAGAGAGAGCCAGGTCCCCAGAACGAATGCATCCCTGCCAAGAGGCCTTCTCTTACCGAGGCAGGATCCTCCAGATAAGGAGGAGAGAATGGCAGACGGTGTCAGGCCCAGCCACAGTTCTCTCTGTAAAGAGGGAATGAGGTGGGTGCTCGGAGGAAAAGAAAAGAATAGTGCCAGGAGGTAATAAAAAGAACAGAGGCTGGGCACGGAGGCTCACACCTGTAATCCCAGCACTCAGGGAGGCTGAGGCAGGAGGATCACTTGAGACCAGGAGTTTGAGACCAGCCGAGGCAGCATAGCAAGATCCTGTCTTTACCAAAAAAAATTAATAAAAATTATCTGGGTATGGTAGAGCACACCTGTAGTCCCAGCTACTCAGGAGGCTGAGGAGGGAGAATCGCTTGAGCCCAGGAGGTCGAGGCTGCAGTGAGCTGTGATGGCACCACTGCACTCCAGCCTGGGCAACAGAGCAAGACTCTGTCTCAAAAAAGAAAAGAAAAACAACCCAAAGAACAAAAAAGGTTTAAACAACAATAAAAGCCTCCCTCCACCGAAGGGGACAGAAGGCTTGCAGAAGGGTCAGCTAACTCGGAGACTGGCGCAGGCTCACAGTGGAGCCTGCGGTACCGTGCTGCCAACTCTTCCCATGCTGCTCGGTGGCCAGTGCAGGAGCAGAGAAGGACGATGGGGTGCTCAGGGTTAAGGGACAGTCATGGAGGGAGGGCAGGGAGCGGGGGACCTGGAGACAAGGAGCCGCAGTGAAGACAATAAATGGGTGAAGGTAAAGTGAGGTGGTGGGAGAGGATAGAAAAGAATTCTAGAATTTTAAATGGTATTTAGAGGTCACACAGTAAATATCATGCTAGTTGGCTTACTGTGAAAAGCTGTTCTGACAAACACATATTCTATCTAAAAGCAAAGTCAGAAGCATTAATAAGGACCTAGTGCTTGGCGATGGCACAGGGTGGGCATCCAAAGACCCTGAGCAAGGTGAACATGGACAACGTGCCCCAGGCCTCATCCTACGTCATGGGACGTTGGCAGGAGTGGCTGGGCAAGGCCTCCAGGAGAGTCCTTTAAAAGCAGAGCATTCTCTGCCAGCACAAACTTAGCCCTCAGCCCTGCCCCTTCAAAGCGGGAATCAGGGCGGCCAGGAAGACTGAGCAGAAACACAAAGCGCCTGGCCCTGACACCATGAGGCGCTGCAGCTGCTGCACCAGCCTCTCACCAGACTTCTTGCAGGGGGAACCAAATAAACTCCACTTTGGCTAAGCCGCTGCATGCTGGTTTGTTAATTACATCTGAATACACTTCTCACTAGTGCGGACACCAAGTGGCAGACCTGGAATCTGAACCTGAACCCAGGGCCCTTTTAGCTGCTCTGCTGTACTGAGGAAGGTGTCACTGTCCCTTGAAGGAGCACAGTGGGGAGGGGAAATGACAGAGCATGCTGAGATGAAGCAGGCAAGACAGGGTGGTGGGAGAGACCTGACCCAGGTCCAGGAGGCATGGGCTGGGACTAAGGGGGAGAGGACAGGTGTGATGGAGGATGCTAAGCCGTGAAAAGCCAACAGCGCCTAGAAACTGACTTGGGCGTGGGGATGAGGGACGATGGAGGAGGAGGAGATGAGAACGATCACAGTGGCTGAAATGAGGCACCGGAGCCCGTATGTGGAAGGATGGAAGATGATCAAAAATGAAGATAGCTCTAACAGCCCTATTCAACCAATGCGTTGCAATATCACCACTAAGTACTTAAATATACTTAATAAGTACTTAAACACTAAGTACTTAAACATTTAAATGTTTAAATGATTTTCTGTCCTCCTTTTGCTACGAGGAATGATAAATATCAACTGTTTTCCTGATCAACAAAAGGAGCTTGGCAGCTGAAACAGTCTGTTCTGAATCAAAAAGCTAGGTGCTATAAATAAGTGTGCACCCTTTTTTTCTTGTGTGCCAAAGGCTAATAGACTCATTAAACTCTGTGAGGCACATTCACGGAGGCCTAATTGGTACATAGCTGTGTTCCAGGTGCTGCAGGAAAGGAAAACAGCTCCAGTCCGCATCAGAAGTAGAATCACAGGATTCTGTGGTTGGCAGATCACTTGGGGAGCACCTAGGTGAAGCCCCCAAAGGAGCAAGCACTTGTCATTCTGGCTGCCTGTTACTCCAAAACTCTTCTGATTTTTACAGGGGAAGAGTGGGCACTCCCAAGCAGAGAAGCGGTAGGAGTGTGGCACACACGTGGCATGCGGACAGCCAATCAGATGCTCCTGCCAGCCTCTGTATCTGAAGGGAGGGAGGCAGGGAAGGGGCCTTGGACCTCATTCCCAGTGGCCTGAGTGATCTGGGGCCTCCCAAATTGGCAGAACCCTTGTCTCCCTGAATCTGTTTCAGTCTCTTCTTCAGCCTCTTGGAACTGGTGAGCTTAGCAGTGCAGATGGAGAAGTTCCTTTTCTGCTTAACAAGTCAGGTTACCTCACCAGCAGCCAAAGCCCTGAAGGTACACCCGATCAAAGGCTTCGGGCTCCTCCTGTAACAGCCCCTACCTTCCAGCCCCCGACAAGTAGTAGAGCTTCTGCCTGAGAACCCTTCAGAACAGGGACTACACGACCTGAATGGTAGCTAGAAAAACAGAATCAAGGTGCACGACAGATTGGGGATGTGAATTCAGGCAAGCAATTATCCACTGTGTGCCTGGATTCCTCACTGTAAAATGGGAAATATGACAGTAATGAATGCAGAGCGTTACTAAGATTATATTAGTTACTACATACAATGCCACAGGAAACAGCACTTCAGAAACAGCCTACTGAGTGCTAAACAAAGGTTAGCTATTTTTCCTTTTTAAAAATTTTAATGTTCTTATATTAGGAATGGAAATATAACAAATTGTATCATGCCTATCACTTTACCCAGATTCAATGTATGAAAACTCAGATTTATAATGCATTATATCAGAAATGAATATCTTCACAAAATTGTTTACAAAACTTTACAAAATGTTTCCTCATTTTAGAAAAGGATTCAATCTGAGACATTTGAAAATAGGGCACAACTTTATAGAACTGGACTAGAATGTATGCTTATTCTTGATTTCTTTAACAAGAGTGGTAACACTTACTCTGTAGCCAGGCACTGTTTTAGTTGCTTTACAAGCACCGCCTCATTGGGTGATCCGAAGGACCCTGTAAAGTACCAGGCAGGTCCCCGATCATCTTCCATTTGCAGGTGAAGAAACTGAAGTGCAGGGGTGTTAAGGGGGCAGAGGGGCCTCAGAGAGTTGGTGGTGGAGCCAGATGGGAGTGAAGTGGTCTGGTTGCAAAGACTGAGCTCATCACCACAACACGACTGCCTCTGAAGTTTTAATTACAGTTGCTCCACTCACACTCCACTTATCAGGCCCACTCATCCTGCAGACAGCAAAGGGCAGCTAAATAAAAGGGC